TAATTTTACACATTTTCTTCTATGTTTTCGGCATCTCAGACATGAGGTATTTGTTGTTTTTGTCTTGTTAACCATCAGGAAAATTGTTAATTTTAATAAAATCTTAAGCAAAACTCAGGAATTATATATTTTTTTAAACTCAGAAATTTTTATTAGTTGAGAGAATTTGGTTTCGTGCACTTGACAAAGTACACTACTTATCACGCAAGCCGCGTAAAGGCATTCCTCTCGTTTGCGTGTTTGAGCTGTCTTCACAACAAAGTCAACTCAGAAACAACCCTTACTGCCTTTCAAAGTGAGGAAATGGCTAGAGACACTAAGCTCTTATGGTAAGCCATACCTTATCGCAGCATTGAAAAAATTTGACTTTTGTAGTTCAGGTACAGCTGCCAAAAGTCTAAATATCAGTGTACCGAGTTAAATCTCAGCGTTATAAGCTTGAGGATTCAACCGGTGAATCCATATAGTATGCCCCAAGATGACTAACATTTAAGAGTGCTTTTTACTCTTCTATGGTAGAAAAAAGCCTAAACACATCCGTTCCTCAAGACATTTCTCAAGGTGCATTGATTTGCAAACACTAAGTTTTTTGTTCGCTCTCGAGGTAGAAAGCAATGGCTAAAACTTAATAAAGACCATCTGAAGCGATAAAAGAATGACCGTTTCGCTCATGTTAACCGGAGAAACATGAATATACTTCACCAAAAAGATGGTTATCTCATGCGTCATTCGCTGCCTCACATCATATTCATCTCTGCGAAAGAGACTACACTTCTCTCTGTTCGGATATTAAGATATGGGTATTCTTCATCATTCCTCTGGTCAGAATCACGAACGAAAGGGTGAGAAATCACAAAATTGGGCGCAATCGATAGGTATTTGTAGCATGTCGATCACATAATAAAAATTACTAATTGTAGATTAGATGATCATCTACAAAAGAAAATTACAATCACACACATACAATCAGATTACTAATTTTAGATTTATTATAACGTAGAATGTACCAGAAACTTTATGTACAATTACACGTTTATTTACAAAAAATAAATATAAATAAATTATTTACAAAAATTACATTTAAAATACTAAATTATTTTCAGCATAATCCAATAAATCGTTATAGTCCAACAGGTAGATATGACTAAAATTTTTATTCAAAACTTCTATCGTGTACTCAAAATCCTCTTCATATTGCTTTCTTCTCCAGAGCAATAAGTCAAATGCACCTCCTTTACTATAATACCATATTGCATCGTGAAAAAGATTATGGTAACTACGAATATATGCATCTAAAAATGAGAAATACATCTTAAATTTTTCATATTTCTTAGGGTCTTCTCTCTTCACATCATCAATATATTCTTCGTATCTTGTAAAAAATTTCAATTTAAGAACAGAGAATTGGCTTTCAAAATTGACTGATAGTGTGGGAATTTCATAAGATTTTTCTTCATTGTTAGTCGACTTTGTAGACCAAGACTCAACTTTTTCACAAACATTATCCCAAGTATCATCTTGTTTTTGGGTTTTCTTGAAGCATTTTAAGAGTTTTTTAAAGAATTTTATATTGTGTATTGTGTGTTGTATTTGTAAAATTTAGAGTGAATTAGAGGTTGTCTCTGTTAAAATTCTTGCTATTAAATAAACTTTTCTTTGCAAATCTTACAAACTATTCTTTGTCATCATGAATTTGATTGGTTCTTTACGCGTTTAATCTGTTTATTTTTGGCTTCTTTTAAACCGGTTTTCTTAATCCCACAATTATAAAAAATATATATAAAGGCTTTAAATTACTCAGTTAATTTTTAATTAATAATTTTTACAAAAGGTGAGAGAGTCGTCACTGTGTCTTGCTGTTTATCATCTGATCATTCACATTTCACTAACTCTCATTTCTTCTCCACTGTATATTAAACAAATATGCACTATGCAATTTTTATCCCATGAAATGACCATAGAATGTCGATAGTTATCTTTTAGAATTTTTACGTATATTAAACCTATATGAAACAAGATGCTGATAAGGAAAAATTAGTTATTCGAACCAGGAATAAGAATATTTACATGATGTTCGAATTGAAAAGTGGTTGAAGAATTCTTTAGAATTCATATACGTTGCAAAGAAAAAGAGAGTTTAAACTGTGTATTTTATTTTACATTTATGTTCTATTTATTTTTTTATTATCAAATAAAATATATATTTATCACAAAAAAATAAATGTTTTTTCTATTTTACAACTGTGAACTGGCCTCCAGTTCACCAATAAACTTTGTGCGATCGACGAGCATTACGTCGACGAAGGAGATGGCGTTGCTTGTCGATTACACAAATGTTTCTGCGGCAAAAAGGCCGTCTGCAAGACTCAAATAACACACCACCACCACCCATGTCTATGGGCTGTTTCATAGAGGGAGAGAGTGAAAGAGAGCATAGGGTATTGATATACCGAGTTATGGAGTGCTATTTTCAGCTAGCGGCCGCTAGGCTGAAAATAAGCACACTGCTATCGGGGTCAGGGGCACCTAGACACCGAGAAGCAGCAGTTCATTGTTCAAATAAAACACATCAATTTAGTCAAATTTGTTTTTTAAATTTTATTAGAAATAAAGAAAATAAACATAGATTACAATGTAATTTCATTTGTTCAAGATGTGTTTGAAGCTGAAAATTTTAGTTTCAAACACATCGTGAACAAATGAAAATCAATCAGAAAACAAACAGCCCAAAGCTATTAATTCTCTTTACATTTCTCTCTTTTAAATCTTAGTTGCAAGCAGTTCATCTGCAATTTTATATACATTTTCAACTGCTCTATTAATATTTTCATTATATGTATCTATTCTAAAGTTCATTTCAATTTCTCGACTAAGAAGTTCAATATTCAAATAATGTATATTTTGAGTATAATAAATATATACACCAAAGCAAATAAACAAAATAG